ATTGTGTTATATATATATATATATATATATATATATATATTATGTCTGACGATCAGATAAGTTGCTGACTTGCATAGGACCGCACCACAAAAAGAGGTGCGTACTTGCTGACCAGGACTCATTGTTTTCCAAACTCAGATGCACAAAAGAGAGCAGGTCATCAGAAGTTACGCTAATCCATTATTTCAAGGCCGAATATTAGCTCAGACATTCTGTAGTGAACTAATACAAAACCGGCGATGAGCATTTAGAAGAGGTAACGCAAAATGTGAAATAATTTGTGAGATGTTTGTCTGACTTCCCGGTTCGACCAAATGACAAGTAAGTGATCGACAACATACAGATTCCAGTAATTCCCTGCCAGAATGCACCGAGTACGAAGGAGAACTAAGAGTGCGAAATCAGTGGAGAGACGAAGAAAATACCAACACCTTTGGTAGACAGTGAAAGTTCGGAAGCTGAGGAAGTCTTCTACTATCTGGAGAAGCCATATTCTCTAATATCTAGTCCGACGGACCAGCCAAAGGAAAGCCACTGTTAGTGAAATGATACGTACGTGAAATTACGGTTCAGTGATTCACTAACAAGGACTCTAATTGGAAGAATGAGCCGATTACTACGAAGAACAGTTCAGCTGGTCTCCTTCAACACCGGCTCTGGAAACAGTGAATTGAGCTAAATTGAAAGTGAATCCCGGTTGTTCATCGGATGAAGAAATGAAGTGTGAAATATCTCTTTCAAAACGCTAAAGAACACTAAGCCCACACTTCTTCAAACAAGCCGATGAACTCCGGTGACCCTTTTGGAGAGAAAAAGAGTTATCTGGAGGATGGGACACCTCAACCACTGTATTCAAAGGGGATAAGCGGTCACTGTGTGTGAACCATCGTGGTGCTGGTTTGGTAGCTGTGGTATTCAAGTTTACATTCGTATAATTCGCAGGTTGACCGAATACACTGATGCTCCCAGATCGATTGCTCACGGATGTCGGGCGCACACGCACTCTATAGCTGTCCGCCGGGTAGGGGACATCAGATCGGCTTCTAGCGACATGCAACATCTGTGTGTAGTGGATATGAAATTATTAAGTCTCTCAAAGGCTGATGGTTTGGAAAACTGACTTCGGAAAGCTGAAGACGGTAAACACTTACAGTGTTTTCCCACTGGTGTTTTAAGCACCACGGGATTCTGATGGGAATATCGAACCAGTAATGTCGTAATGTGGTGGGTGCCTTCAAAAGGAAGTAACACACATGCAGTAGATGAGATGGCACTTCGTGTGTTGCATTAGCTCGGTCATTTTCTCCGTATGCCAGTCGATCGGGTTTCCCGAGCATCTTTCTTCGCACCACCATGCATAAGGTGCCAGTAAGTTGGGAGTGCTTTACCAAAGACTGGAAACAAATTTTGAAGGTCATTGTTAACAAACTCAGCTGACCTGGTCATTGCCATATCCCCGGAAGATTACCCCGAAACAGGATATATCGCTGTTTAGCAGCACTGGTAGGCATGCCTCAGTCACGTGCTCAGTGGCATGCTTGTATTGAATCTGTTGCTCTCAAATCACAGCATTCTCTTCAGATCCCTCCGCCAACAGAAAGCTCAAAGTCAATCCTCTATTCATCCTTAAGGGATGCCAGCCACTGCCTTCAGTGCACAGATGACCATTTCTAGTTCCCAGAACCTCGGCAAGGTCAAATAAGACAGCTAGAACCATTGTACAACATGCAAACGGTTTACAGATGGCCTACTGGTACATGATGCTGATGATGCTGATGATGCGGATATTGCTGATGATGCTGATGATGCTGATGATGCGGATATTGCTGATGATGCTGATGATGCTGATGATGCTGATGATGATGATGATGATGATGATGACGATGGAGAGAGACCACACACGGAAGAGACCACAGGAGTTCCCTCCCTCAGCTGTGACTGAGCATAAGATCCGCCTCGAAATAGAGGCTAACTCTGAGAAAGGTCGAAATGTACTCGACCATTAAGATAAGGACATTCCTATTTGTCGACAACAGGGCTCCACTAACAGATTCGAAATGAGGGAATTTCCAGTTTGCTTCGTGTGATGCAGGAAAGGTTTGCTTAACTTACACGGGAAATAGCTCAATATCTCATGCTGCATCGTCCGTTCCCATAAGCGACAAATTTAGGCTTTTTTTTATCTTTGTTACACCAAACAGAGGATAAACTTTGATGCCAAAACGTTCTGGCTTAGCTGAGTTCGTTTGTAGCCTGCAGCCAGTTTCAGGAACCCCATCATCGTGTGACCACTCCTCAGTGGCTGGATTATCATCCTTCCCTTTTGGCCTCACTAGGCAGACGCCTAAGAGAACGTTCTACGGAAGGTGCTTATTCATCATAACTGTTTGACTGATTACGATGAGGTGTATGGAATTCCTAAGCAGTCCAACGGTCAAACAGAACTGGTTTGTTCTGATTCGCCTAATCTAATAGTTTCAGTAGACAAAGCTGAATAATACCAAGTATCTGTGGTTGCGTCAGACAAATACGAACTCTTTTGCCTTTGCTTCGGTGGGTTTGTGGTCCAGACTGTCAAGAGAATCTGCTTGAAAACGATTTTCTTCCTCAACAATTTTATTCACACTTGATCTAAATCCGAGCCTTTTTTTACTTAGGGATTCCCACAAGCGACCGGCATTACGACTTGCCCTACAAGTTCGGGAACAGCATATTCGTCGTGACAAGGCTACCAGCAACATTTGTACAGCACAAGCTTTACTTGCCAACATGGCTAGCTTCTATGCAGTGTATCACGGACCCCAAGGGTTGAGAGATATCGCCTCCAGAGTGCATCGAAACACCATTCGCCTAGCTGCGTCACTTATCCTCGCCAAATATGAGGTACTGTTGACGTTTTTCCATCGGTTTCAACTGTGTCTGTTTTTCCCTTTCAATGCGAATATCCATGTAGGAATTGGTGCTTTCAAACAGAGCACTGACGGTATGCAAATCTTTCACCTGTAATTCATGGAGTTGGAGGTATGTTAAAACCGACACTCCCATCAGGAAAGTCAGATTCCTGAAAGCAACCACTGAGACCCTCAGCTCCGCTAGATGTTGACAGGACAGACAGCGCCCCCTCAAATGCAGCGCTTCACAGACTTGAATCAAACCTAGGCAGCGAGTCAGCGTTTATCAAGTTCAGAGAACGCCCCCGCAATATGCAGTGCGGGTTCCCGCAGCCTGGTACAAAGGCCAGATCGCGCATTGGACCAAGTTAGACAGTGTCCCTCCAATAACTAGCTTGAGACCGTTGCACTTTCGCACTCGCACGCACTCACACTCTCGCATTCGCTTGTTCGGAGCATAGCCGTTGTGTTCCCTTCAGCGAGTCTTTTTTTTCGGCATTAGGCACTGGAGCGCATCATCAGTCAGATACGACAGATTGGCGAATCAGCAGATATAACAACTCCTCTTTGACAATTACTTTGACCAAAGCTCAAATCAATGACCACAGATCCCTGAGTAGGCGATTTTTGGGCTAGAATACAGAGACCCCCAGTACAGTGATTTTCATTTTTGCTAAGTATTGGGTGTACTAGTAGAGCTCCTTTCCTGGACAAACTGGTTTTCATATAAGTATGGGTTTACCTGCCTCTCGGATACCCGGACATGGTTATTCAGATAACTTTATTGAAGGAGAGCGTGAAACAAACAGAACGGATGGATATACCCAAGGGGAAAACGTCAATTCATGATTCACTCTTACAAAAATGGAGCTCTTGTATGATCACATCAGGAAATACTTCCCCAACCAAGAACAGTGAAATTCACACTGCCAATTTGAGCGGCTACTGGCTGTTTGCTTGTTACATGTTTCACATATTTTAGAAAAATGCAAGAAGTCATCCCGAGCATGGGAATGTAAAATGAGGAGCAAACACTTTGCCCCTTTTACCGGCATTACCTGAGGGGTTCTGTCGACTCGGTACTCACTCCTCAGGTGGAAGGGAATACCAATCTGCGTTCTGGCGACTCACGCTTATAACTGAGTTCAAATTAAACTTAAACTACTGGTCGTACTAGTAGGATATGGTTGTGCAACAATGTGGTTTAGATACGAAACCCCTGCACTCCCTGGATGGTTTGTGGCTCTTACTGTCGTTTGTGGAACAGTTCTGGTTTCTTCTCACTTGCTTAGATGTTCGCATTTCTGAGGTAACAAAGCAATTAAACTGGGCACTGCGGTCTCTGCACGGGGCACGACAGTCTTTGGGACCATATTACCAAAACGATATCATCTAGTTTCCAGGTTTGATAACAGTGTGACACAAACCTTGAGTTAACAACCCTACCCATCGTATGAACTACTCTTCCCCAGCCCATGACCTGTTTCGCCCTTTTTAGGCGGTGCAGTACCCGAATTCCCGTCAGTTTTATGTCCCACTTGAATCCAAATAGCACGGACTTAGCGAACTACAGTCATTTCGCCACTGCCATCAACAAAAAGCCCACCGGAAAGTTAGAGATTTATCAAAGTTGAAGATGGAATGGGTTTAACGATTTTCGATTCTCGGGTCCGGGTGTGTCTAGAGTTCGTTGTATTCGTGTGATTCGTGCACGCGTATTTTACGTCGTATGCGCCTGACACATATACGGAGGAATAAATCGACCGATGCAATCCCCCGTTCGGTATTTTCTGTTTTCAATTAACTTCATAAAAATTGACGGACTCGAAAAAAATGACAGCCTGAAATCGATGTTCATTTTAATTCACAAGCGAAAGACAGTTTTCTTTTCATGCGCTAACGTGCAGAAGAGCACTCAGGCCTTTCGATAGAACTTCTCTTTGTTTCTCTTTATCGATTACGTCTAAAGCTTCGGTAGCAGAACATGACACTCTCAGGTTCACCGAAATTGTTCAGTACACATGCAGGGTTGAGTACATTTTCGGTGGTATCCGTCGACTCATCACACCTGAAACTTCTCCCTTAATGTAGAACAAACATGTTATTTATAAAATCCCCCAAATCACAGTAAATGTGGCCTGTCTTACATATATTGCGGGCCGTTTTATTACATGCGGCACTGAAACCGCTGGTCTGTACCCTGTGAAAATATCCGGCTGCTCTGAATGGAAATCGTCACGGAGGGGTTAGTTAGAGAGTTTGGTCCTCCTGTGGCCACACACCGAAACCGTGCGCCTGGTCGAATCAGATCATAAGATCTTTTTTTCCTTTCCGTGATTCATCATCATCATCATCATCTTCATCAACAGCATGACATCAGCGTTTAACACCGATGCTTCACTGCCGTGATTACCTTGCTCTTCGGGTTCTAAAGCACGGTACGGTCAAGGTGGAAGGATAAAGAAAGAAAACTCTGAGAAGATAAGGAGCCTCTTCCGGAACGTTCGAAGCTTAATTTAGGGCAGGATGTTGTAATGCCAATGAACCGTTTTAAACGGAGGAAATAGAATTGCACACTAACATCAAAAGGTGGAAGTTAGGTGGGACCGGATACAGGCGGACTTCGACTAAGAGAGTTTACACGGTGGCGTTTCGAGCCTTTCATTCCATTTGGTCAAGGGAGCCTGACCAGCGTTTGATAGTGAGTGACCTAGCTTTTGAGCCGATAGCCATTTCGCATACCTTCGACACTTCTCGAGAAATACACTCAGTTGCAAATCAATTTGGTTTTCACGAGAGACTCGACTGACTGGTCTCTCGTTTATGATATTCTGCAACTGAATATGCTGCACACAGGCCGCCTCATGTTTCAGTGGGCACGATATTCAAGAGATCGCAGTATATTTTCATAAGGGGAACTACTCACAAGGTTGCTGTCGAAGAGTTTTCAGCAACCTTGTGAGTAGTTTCCTTCATTTGAGTAAGAAGTTGATTTTATCCTGTTTATCGACAAAACTACCACACAGTTAATGATTTTCTTGGTTTGAGATTTCATTTCTAAACTATTTTCTGCAACTGTCATCGATCATAGAATTGAAGAGATCCTCGAGACATAGATGATTGCCTCATAAGCTGGGCTGGACAGGTACTCTAAAAAATGTAGCATATCTGTCAAACGGAAACGTTTTGACCATATTCCTTTCAGATTTGCAGCGATGGACCCGTGTTTGACACTTTGAAGGTGCGAACATTAGAGAACTTGCGGAATATTAACACGATAAAAGAGCAGGCTCTTCAAAAACGCATCAATCTCCGCTATTATCCGGACGAACAATCGGTGAGTGTTGATCACGTTATGCTACTGTCTCTCACAGATCGGTGTGCTGCATTTTTAGGAAGTAGCAATGAAACCTAGTGGATGTAAGTGGTTGTATCGAATCGAAGTCGCGTCTTCCGGTTTTGAATGCCGATGTGCAAGCTTTGAAGAACATGAGCATGCAGTTTTAATCGCTCAGATGTGAGCTGACTTCGTCTTTCATTGTACATCATCATCATCATCATCATCATCATCACCATCATCATCATCATCCCCATCAGAGACACCAACATCAGTCTTGGCACTGATGCTTTCTGCCACACAGCCACAAAGCTTATTTAACTATCCTTTTTATGCAAATCAGCAAACTTGCCACCGGCCTTCGAGATTTAGGCACTGATTTCTCCACACACACACACACACACACACACACACACACACACACACACACTATTGTCGGATCTAATGGAACTACCGAGGTTGGTATACTTACGAAGAACGGAGGTCAAACGAAGGACTGGATTACTTGATCCTCCAAAGTGTGGGGAATGTATTTTCGGAAACCATCCAAGAGTCTCAGGCTAAACTTGGAGCTATTCGTGAAATTAGCTTGTCTTTCGGTACTCTTGTTTGACAAGTACCAGAGAACTGGTAAATACCACTTTCTCTGCGTTGAAGTACAACGTGTATTTGTTATGATGAATGAATTCATTTCGAACAGATGTTTTATCTGTGTTGGACATCTTCACACATGCTCTTGCTCTCAAGAAAGACTATTCGCTTAGTATTTTCTTCGGAGACCAAAGTATGGACAAACTACAGTACGAACCTTGAAGGGGCTTTGTTGTCTCAGGAAATGCACGGTCAGTCCTGTGGATGTCATTTTAAATGAGCCCATTTGGGTGTAGTACGATTTTTACTGTTACTCACAATTTTACCTGGGGCACATCAGTACTCGTTTGCATCAAATACGCTAACCCCCAATTAATCGTTGGGATGTAAAGTTCCCCTTTGCGAATCTTTGGAGTGTGTTACCAGGTCATTCACTTCACTCTCACTTCAAACAGGTCGCACTTAAAAAGTACGGGTTGGCTGCATATATGTGTAAAATTTAGTCCGGATTTGAATAATCGGTTTCACTGTTTGGTTGCGTTGTTACTATACTAAACTCTATTTTGATGGCATCCGCGAGTCGTGGACCAGATATTAGAGACGGCTGCGTCACGAAAAACATTTGTTAGGAGTGTGTGGATGGGAGGGCTAGCTGTGTATTGAAATCAGTAGCTCGTACGTGCGCATCATTGGCCGCGTGACTGTTTGTGGTTGGCTGTATGCTCTGTCCTAAGGTCCCTATCTAAAAAGGGGGCAGCTTCCAGCTTGACTGAGTTTACTGGCTATAGCCTTCTTACTTTTGCTCTAAGTCATCACTACCTCTCCTCTTCTGGCTCATCTCGGTGCACCATCGAGCAAAGTAGGGCCTTATAAGAAACTTTTCTCCTAGCATTGGAAGTTCGTTACCGAACCAGCCTAATCTGTGACATGCAGCAAGCTGATCTACCGAGTTCGGGGAGATCTTTCGTCCAAGCCATTTGACACGCCTCAGAACTGCCGATGTGGTGTTCCCACCGAATTCATGTAGTGCTTCGGGAACATCCATGCTCAGACACCAAACGCTTCCCATCTTCTTTTTATCGCTCTGATTCGCTTTTCGACCCTAAAAAATTTATCTAGACGTTGTGTTAACCTCAGCGCTGACAGACACTGGTTGAATACAACCTCACGATAACGTAGATTGGCAGAAGCAACCGTTGCTTCCCCTAGTTGAAGAGCGATTTTACCGCTGATCGTAACACTTGAACTCTTGCAGCTGCCCAGGTGACGCCATCAATTCGTCCGTTTTCTGAAGGCCCGGGTTCGGTCGCAGCCAATATTTCAATGACAGCCTAAATCCATCGTCGAGCCATCTGGTCTCAGTTTTCCGTTTATGGTCAGATCAGACTGTACCATCAGTGAGACAAAAAACACTGTGTATTCACAGTTGTCACGGGATGCAAACGTTTGACTGATGGAACTCCCAAGCAATAGGAAAAAATCACAGCAGTGATCTATAAGACTGGGACAGCTCCGCTATTAATTTCTGTTGTGAATACTTATTAGAAACGTGCTATTGAGATAAGCCGAATTTTTTCAATACCTAATTTTGTCTATTATGATCAACAAGAATAGCAAGTACATACACTAAACGTTGAAAGATGTACACTCGGGATGCTTGGGTGCAAAATGGAGCACAATGTACATCATTCAGTCTTGTGACGAATATCAGTTCAAGTGGGTTTTCGGTGGTTTGAAACACGTTATTATACGTTTGGAATCTGACTACTAGTAAGTAGTCAAAATTGCCACTAAGTCTTCATGAACCTCAGGGAGGATATGTTAATGATCACACCGTGTAATTGGAGCTCTTACTGGTGGTAGTCGTAAGATCAAATTATGTCATGTCCAACAAACCTAATCATGTAGAAATACGTGGCAGATCGCTCTTTTAGGACCGCCAACTTCGACCTACTAATTATCACATGTGATAACTCCAAACATATGGATAGGAAATTATCAAGCCTTCCTTAAGAATCGTGAGAAATGAAAGGCAATTCTGGCCGTCCACTCGATCTCGGATTACCAAAGAAGTGTTAGTTAAACCCAAAGCCACTTAAATTCATATAAACTGCGCACAAATTGAGACAGCTATGCGTTGCGATGGAACTGAAACCTACCACATTCACCTGATGAGTTCCAACAAGAATGAATCGCGCGGTGGGTTCGACTTTGTGCGATTACATGCCTTTGGTTTGACCCGTTTGTTGACTTGACGACTGTCCGATGGACCGCTATAGTAAACACTTCCTCAACGTGTGCAATCGTGATCCGCATGCATTGCCTACCTTTAGAACTTGCAGTTATTGTTGTTGTCTTACCTGGCCCCATTTCGCTAGCCTAGTCGAGCCAGACAAGTTTAGCTCTGTAAACAGTCGATTTTCGAACTGCCACATTGCTGAATACCATCATGAGGTCGATTTGATTAGACTTAGATCGTTAGCCGTGGATAGTGGGGTTTGAAAGTCAAATCTGTCGAATTACAGTCAAACAGATCTTGCATTGGGTTTGGGTTCGATCCGGTATTGAATGTGCTTACCAACTTGCCTAGTCAGACAGTATTCTTTTTTGAATCCGCAATGGAATACAAAGATGGATGCCGACTGGACTGATTAGCTGTTCTCAGCATGTGGTGTGAGTTTCCAGTGAGCAGACGGGAAAGTTTTCCACACCGCAGTGGAAATCCACATTCACAGTTGAATCTCACTAAAGTGCCAAAATAAGGGCTGAACTGAACTCTCGTCTGCCATGACCCTGTCCCCAAAAGTGCCACTCCCAATCAAGAACTACCTGGACTGATCATAAGAACTATTTGTCACTGAATAGTATCGTATCACTCATAAGTAAAACCGAGCATTGCTTTCCAGATGGTCAAAAAGCCCTTTTTCAGGGCAAGAACACTGAAACTCGAGTGTTTTTTAATTGTTCCTACAAAACTACTTTCAGGTTGGCATTTCGCTGGACCAGACTGTGACAGATGAAGACTTTATGGATATTTTGTACGTTTTTGATGCTCCCATAACCACTGTCGAAGTGAGTACCTTTGTTTCTGTCTTCTCATACTCAATATTACTACCGTTTTTACTCTGATAAGATGCTTTCGTCCATCCCTAATATCATATCTGACATAACAAACGTAGTTTTATACAGAAAGAATGGCATGTCAGATTCACACCGACTTACCGAAGCAGGAACGGTGAGCTAACATGGACGTATCCCATCTATCTCACTGTTCGTTGGACGACGTTGTCCGAACACGGCGATGTTTGTTGACGCTCAAACAACCTGGTTTAACCAGCAAGTCAAGGCAGACTGAACATGCCTGCAGGATCCGAACGCGAATATCTTTCAACTGCTGCATCATGCATTTTTGAAGACTAGTTGCGATTTTTTTCAAGTTGAATTGACTCAGCACTATTTATAGGACACTTCTATGGAACACAAAAAAGATCTGGGCAGGGTGGTCAGAGACGTTTCTCTGTAGTTTCGTACAAAACTGAGAACAGATCTTCTGAAGTTAATGGCGTTCCATTCAACTAATTTTCAGGCGTCGTCTTCAAGCTATCATGCGCATTGTTGTCCTTGCTCAGTCCAGTCCGTTTTGGTTAAAAAGCAATTTATCTCAGGGTGCAAGTTTTGCCTCATCTCTTCTCCGTCTCCTTCTAATGATATCTCGGTTTCACAATAGATTAGGGAATCTATTTCTGTTATTTCGGGAGATTTCGTAGCTCTGCTTCTCCGCGGTTTTTGATCTTCAAGCCCCATATTTAAGATATTTTAATGATCAGTAGCCAATAGACTTATCCGCACTTCCACTGTCGGTAAACGGTAAACGAATTGTTATGTGCTTTTTGATGATTTTTTTTTAAAGATAGTATGAAAGCAATGAAACTTTGGAAAAACAACGTTTGTGGTGCATTGTTTATAGGGACACTCGAACTTCCTCAAATCAGTCCATCAATAAATCTAGCGAGGACTTATGGATATATGAACTCAGTTCATACGTGTTCGAAGGACCGGTGAATAAACTTTTCCCACAACGCAATACTGATGAGTGCGTTTTGTTTTACACCCTAGTTGTTAACCTCAATTGCTAAAGTAAAGTTCGGCATTTGGGCAAGAAAGTTCACAAAAACGTGGGTTGAAGTCGTCATCTGTTGAGACACATGATGAACAAGCAACTATAAGAGAAATACACTCATTTGCAAATCAATCTGGTTTTCACGAGAGACTCAACTAAGTCTCTGGTTTATCATGTTCTACAACTGAAAGTGCTGCACGCAGGCCGCCTCATGTTTCAGTTGGTACAGTATTCAAGATATCGCAGTATATTTTCATAAAGGAAACTATTCACAAGTTTGCTGAAAACGTCCGACAGCCCACGAAGAGTTTTCAGCAACCTTGTGAATAGTTTCCTTCATGAAAAGCATCTATAAGCTTTGGTTTACAGGCTGTGTAGCGCGACTAGGTCGAAGACAACTTTCATTGAAATAGTCCGTTAGAGGGAGCAATCGCGTACATATTCACACTCCCATTGGGACATACGTCCAGCCTCCAGGCGTGTACCGATGATGGGCGGTCAGTGTGACTTCTTTGGTGAATAGGGTATGTTATCTGACGAAACTAGAAGGTGAATCAACCACAGAAAGGGTTGAGTGCGCGTCGTGAACCAGATGGTGGTGGAAATACTTGCAGGGCATGCAAAGGATTTCCCTGCGTATAATGCAGAGAACCACGTATAGATTTCATTTGAAGCATTATGTATACTCAGTTCCCAATAAGAACACGGTACTAACTTGCATAAGTGATCATAAAGATTAGTTTCATCCTTTGTCTCTCGGACGGATGTACCCAGTCATTGCGCACCCGAATCGCCCAATCTAAAGCAATTGCCACATCACTCCGTTCACGTCATCTTTGGTCTCTGTAACGAATATCATTGATGTTAAAGGAGTGGGTCTATAAAACGACCGTGAAAGCAATCTTTCTGCTGTGAAAATGGGGCTGCCGATTTGAAGATCTCAAACGGCTTTAAATAGTTCACCACCGGTATCAATGCGATATAGCACGAGCTAACTCTTTGCAGCATGTAGGTAATGAAGCAGCCTGTAAGCGGGATAAGTTGTGAGTAGGATTCGCCCGAGGAGCTGTTGAAGCTCCTAGTTTGTCGTGGAGGCATGAATTACGTATGCGCGATTGTCGTCTACCAAAGAAAATCCTATCTTCTATTCCACAACCTTGGTGACTAAGGTTTCATGGAGGACAGGCATGGCGCGGCAAAGCAAAATGAAATCAGTCACTCTCAAGTTGAAGGTGCCCATTATCCGCACAATGCTCTCAGCTGCAAAACTTCTACAAATGGAGTGAAACTTTCTACGCCGAAATGTTGCATTTTGTTGATTATGCGCTCAAACCAAAAACTGTCGTAATCTGCGTTCATATTTTTGCAGCTCACCAAATTTCATTGAAGCAACCATGCCTCTGGCTGAAAAGTCCTGTGGGATAATTTCCCAGCATTGCTGAGACCCCGCGATGCCTAAATGGGGCTTAAAAGTTTAGACTGGCACTCTCAACTCAATTGCCTGATTGCTTTAGTCCATCAGGGACACGTGAAAACTTCCGAAAATTCAATTCCATTGTGCGAATACTGAGCGCGCAAGTTGAGCGCTATAGCGTCTCGAATCCTTCTGCGTGAGTTCCCTGCCTTGCGCGTGGTTTAAAACCCTACAGGACCCCCTTTCCCTACGGTTGTATGGCAGTTAACCATGATAATGGTGATGATGACAGCAGGTTACTAACATTAGCACCAGAATGACCAGTCACCTCTATCAGGTGAAACTGACTTTCGGATGTATCTCCAAAAGACTTGGAATCAGATTTCCGAAGTTTCCATGTTTGGATTCCAGTATTTTGGAAACTAGCTAGACTAGCTAGACAGACAACAGTTGCAACTTTTAAAACCTAATGAAGAGTTGAAATCCTAACTTCTGCTCTATTCGGGCTGTTGTGTTTTCACTTAGTAGTTCATTCCAACGTTCAACGATCCACTCGTATATCTCGTGGTAGTACTGACAATTTAGGGTGTGTCTAGGTTTTTAATAAAGTGGGAGTATAACTTACCGTCTTCGGCAAAAACTCTGATCAAAGATGCATATTCACACACAATTAGGACAAAACCTTGGTTTTTGTGGTAGTGTGGTGCATTGGTCGTTTTTTCCGGTTCGACCAATACGGAATGGCAAATCATGTTACCAACTCACAGCTTTGCAGAGATCGATTTTGAATATCCCTTTCAGGCGGAGCGGACTTGATGGTTAGTCGGCGAGAAGTTCAGAATTTGGGTCACGCTGATTGATCAAGGACAATGATGGCGACTAGATAGTGGCTCCGACTATATTATCTTTTGTTTTTATGCAAGCGTTCCTCAGGGAGAAAGCCCTAGGTAATTCGCGTTGAGAAATTAAAAGAAGCAAGGATTCTTTTGTGGTCGGACATTGGGTCGGAACATCGCAAGCCCACACTGAAGTATTCAGGACCATTACTGCAATGAATGTCTTCAAAAGCATCATGGGGTGAAAGTTGTACGTGAGTGTTAGATGGCTGATTGATGAGGACCTCTCTGATAGCCAGTCTAACAAATAAGGTTGGTGTATCATGGGTGGTCGTCTGTTGGTTACACCTGCACTGAGCCTGCCAGACTACGCGATAGGGAGAAGACAGAGAACCGAGGGCACGGCTGTATTGTCAGGAAAAAACATACAGAGCTTCTGCGCAAATATATAGGATGACTAACTGGCCAAATATGGTCGTTCACTTGTTCGCTCTGTACTGTAATACCTTGCCACCTTGACATCCAAGGCAAGTACGAGAGCTGCGGTGCTGCCAGGTCGCCCAAGCCTAGACAGGAACACTAGAAATTCCGGGGTTGGTTCGAACCACGGACCTTCTGGTCGGTAGGTTCGTGTCCCAATCACTCAGTCATCTCGAGCCAATATGGGTCCTCCTGACCACAGCAGACAACAACGGCGCTTCACATCGACCCTGAACCATGCTCCCCCGACTACTACTACGGAATACCATAGTTGGAACTCGACGATGAAATCCCAACCGTAGTACTCCGCAGATGCTCCTGAAAGCTTTAGGTTTTAATTAGCCGAAGTGTACCGGTTTTGAAGCCCTACCCGCGACTTTACTCGTCCATGATCGGTTTTGAAGCCCTACCCGCGACTTTACTCATCCATGATTACACAACTAACCTTGACTGTTTTCCTAGAAATTTATGGCGCAAAAGACAGGCTTTCCATGCTGTTTTGCTGTATTTAGAAAGCGTGGTGACGCCTAACCGAATGAGATCCATGTATTAGCCACCTTACTGATTAACCACTACCTTTGAATACAGAAAATGTGGGGAAGTGAGACCAAAGAGCATCTCTCCATCAAGAGAGAGGATACGAATCGTGCATTTGAAAACAAAGTTCTAAAAGGAAGTAACAAAAAAGTCCTTGCAAGCAAATCAATGGTAATTTCCTGCTTCCGTCAAATTTGGGAGAACCAGCGAGACAACTGGTTAGTCGTTCGGTCGTGTAGTTTTTGCAAGGGAAATTCTACTGTCTTGACAAGAGAATGTCTGAAACGCACAAACTTGTTTTTCGGTCTTGTTGATTCTTGGCTGAATCGTTTTAGTCCCTAACCTGATTCTAATTTTTTTATTCATAGTAGTGTCTTCCTTAGCATTTTGTGTGTTTTTGCGAGCTTCGCTCTCTCCAGTATGATTTAGACGAGGGCACTCGTTTTCCTTAAACATTTCTTGCAGTCCGAATGATTAATTCTTCACTCTCCACTGTTGCTGCTTCTTTCTTTCAACAGCCAGCATCTAAACACTGTTTATTCTCAAACCCAGAGCTTCTTCGAAAAGATGAGTATTTGAACCATGCTGTGTTCAACTCTTACCATTCGGAAACCGAATTGCTTCGCTATATGAAACAGCTGGAGAACCGAGACGTCTCTCTGACTCATTCCATGATTCCTCTGGGCTCTTGTACGATGAAACTGAACGCCACCACCAGCATGATGGTAAGTAGGAACACAGATGTGTAATTACGGTACCTTGATAAAGGCCACTCTTGAAACGCGACATCATTGAAAACTTAGACTGTCTTTTTGTGCATTAGATCGCTTGCTTCATTTATCAGATGCACATCAGAACGAAGTGGTTAGTACTTCAGTGAAAGCTAGACCTCCACTTTGCCATGGCAGACGAATGGTCAAAGCAAATACCCATGGTATTAGACTTAGCCGAGGCTAACCAGAAAGCCAAGCCCCTGTCTTATGGACAGCTATGTCATCTCAAATATTTATAGCACGTTCCAGCGGACAGATCATTCATCAGGTCGTTATTTGAGTCTTGCCGCAGAGTCTAGAAGTCTGATCGGCGAAGAACTTTAATACATTTTTGGCTGTATATCCTGCAGAGATATTCTCACTATCGTTTGCGTTGGTCCTTCTGATTAAACTAACCAGGAGATTTCCTCTTCAGGCTGCACCATGATAACGTTGTTTAGCATGTTTCAACCAAACGTTCAAAGCCAGCAAACTTTTCAAAATCTGACACACCTGCTGACGTCAGTAAGCGTCGTACAATCGTCTACTTTCTTATCTGGTGGAGACGAGGGTCAGTCCTCCAATATTGTCGACTTCACTGATGGAATAACACAGTTCTGACCTTTCGGATCTAACCCGTCTTAAAGTTCATCTCACAGTTTATCTCAGCCTACTTTCATCAGAGTGATTCAACAAGGCTACTGTTAAAAGATCGCTGTCTCAAATTCGATAATCGACAACCTTCGTAGGAATGTACGTCGACCACCATTGGGCCTAGCCCTAGACTATCAATCCCTCGGGCACATCGACTTATTTTTCCCAGAGTCCCATTGATATACTCTGAGTCTCCGGAAGAAACACTTTTTATGGGACTGACTGTCGGTAACTCGATGAACTCTTTCATTGTTTCATTCACTCTCCTTCGGACATCAGCTAAACTTTGATGTCCCTTCTTCGCAGAGCTTATTCGGGCTTATCCCTGTTGGAGAACTTAAATTGCAAAGCCGAATGACGTACTTCTCTGAGCACCTCGGCCGCACGAGGTTCAAAAGCCACGTATCGGAGCTGAAACCGATGCAAAAGTCCGACAAAGGCGGTGGCTTGCCAAAAATTCTACAAAGCTTATGTGACATTATTCATCGGTCTGTTGCACCAGCAATTCTGAAAAATATCAGGGACAGAGGAATGCCCGATGAGCTTGAGCTCATCGATTCTGAGGCCCTGCCTACAGAAAATTGAAAAATCTAGTTGCATAGAATGCTGCTGCGGGGCTCGCTCAACCATACGGGGAAATCACTTTTCTATTTAAGTGACTTTCTTCAGAGTAAATCATGGAACCATATCATGTTATGGTGGATTTTCTTTCAGGAACTTTATGAAACAAAACTTTACCCTTCGATTTCATCTCGACCAAAAATCTTTGTGAAGACCATGCAGGCGAATTGTGCTCAGTCCAAAGTTCTTGGCTGTATTTACGGCGAAGCATCTCCGGAATCATGTGTGAACGCCGGAGCTTAACTGGATGCCCAATTTTTCAGCACTCTTCCACTTCAACATAGGGTGAATCGGGCAGCAGACATAAGTTAAACACTCTGGAGTCCATATGACCTTCGACACTCAAGTCATCGACCTTGAGTATTCCAGGATACTCTAGTCGCTCTGCTATACCCCAACCTATCCTCCGCAAAATGTTCACAAGAATGAGCTTCTCGTGGAAAGCAACGCCTTCTTTTGTAGACGGCTGTTGGCTGTGTGCAGTACGCCTCCTAACCAGGTTCGTCTATCAATCCTCAGTAGGCGCTCCATCGATTCCCATTTGTTACTAATCCGCCACTGGTTAAAGTACCCTTGTTTCCTGCTACGGTTAACTAAATTCTTCCATATTGTGAAGGCTCGGGGTATCAACTTTACAAAAGCACAATGCACGTAACCATTCGTGTCAGCGTGAGCTTCGGTTGCAACTCTATTCTCTGACAGTACGGTGAAAGTTCAATTGAGACAAAAAAATGTATTAAAAAACTTCCCCGTGAAAGTGTACCCCTAGCCGGTACACTTATGTTAAATCTCATTCAAAAACACTCTTTATGAAAGACCAGATGGCTAGCTGTCTCAAGATGACCTCTTTTTGAAGGATTAATGCACCTTTGCTATGTCGCGGAAACCTCAATTATGCTGTCTTCCATTCTGCCGAGAATGGTAACTCTGACATCCCCAGAGTGAATTTTTTGTAAAGTCTCTGCCAATCACCTGACCAAATCGTTTTGGGTTTTGTTAGAGGCATACTTCCAGCACAGGAGGAAAGTAATTCCCTTGCTACCCTAATGTAATAGCTTCTATATTTCGCTAAATTTAACGCGTGTCGTACATCGATTGTGCCGTTTTCAAGTTCACGACTCACTTTCACGTCCCGCTTTTTCAGTTATCTTTTCTTGCCTCACTCTTCCTATTCACTCACAACAGCCGTGCTCGTGGCCCACGGTCAACTCACTGCATCCGTTCGTCCCAGCGGAACAAACACAGGGCTATGAAGCATTAATTCACGACCTCGAACAGGATTTAGCCGAAGTAACCGGCTACGATCATGTATGTTTGGCGCCAAACAGTGGAGCTCAGGGAGAATATGCAGGTCTGTGCGCGATTGCCAGGTTCCTAAAGAGCAGAGGTGAAATCCAACGCAAGGTAAGTGAAATATCATTCATAGTTCCGACTTAGTTTTTTGGATAAGCTGCTGTTCAGGTTCTGAACAGTCTACTCACAGGTGGGTGTTCTTGTAATATTTTCGGCGGCTAAACATCCACGACCAATCGATTGTTTTGAAACTGCCCTTCGGGTGACTTTGGAATTTCCAGTAAAGTTAACTTAGTGGGTTTCAAAAAAAAAACCGTTTTCTTTCCACTTCGTTGCCTATGAACCGTGAATTCTGAATCCTTTTGGAAATTCCAGTTCTCAACCAATCAGTGTATTGCTAACCTCCTGTGAATCAGCCACTTTTAACACTAGACTGGCGCTTGATTGAATTGGATGTGAAAGTCCAGATAGGTGTAGCATGGATGAAAGATATTTGCCGATGAAATCGATCAATCGAACGCTCACTTCCCGAACTGGAGGTCTACAGAGCGGACTAGACAATAACAATACCCGGACATCCAAGCGGCTTCAGTATAACTTAATAGGAAGTAGACAGCGATTCGGTAGATCCGGAGATGCAGCATGAACAAACAGGACGCGTCTATTGGTACTTAGGAGACCAGACCATACATTTGTAGCAAGTCTGGACATCACTAACGACTGTACAGAGCGCTTGGCCTCCAGCTGTATGGAAACTGTTCGCTGACACCATTTTGTGTTATTGGATTATGATCAGATCTTACTAGCATGACAATGTTAAGAGAGTACATGAAAATGTGAAGAGGTTAACAATGTGGCCAGTAGTGGAACATTGATAACTCTGTGGTTTGGGAATACGGTCCGTCCTTTTGATCATAGTAAAGACAGTGGCGATCTACTGCTATGTTTGCGTGACCATCAATACACACGTTACTATTATGAAGCTTTTTCCCAAACGTGCTACATCCTGGCTTCATGATTTCAGGTTTGCCTGATCCCCACTTCCGCACATGGGACGAATCCGGCCAGTGCGAAAATGGCCGGAATGTCTGTTCATCCTTTGTTCAACACAAAAGCCGGCGGGTTCGATATGGCTCATTTACGAGAGCAGTTGGATCGGTTCAAAAACACAGTTGCAGCTATGATGGTAACCTATCCAAGCACGTTTGGTGTGTTTGATGAGGAGCTGCTGGAGGCGTGTGAGCTGGTCCACAACGCCGGTGGACAAGTGTATCTAGACGGGGCAAACATGAATGCGCAGGTGGGTTACCAATCGGCTTCTGGATTCTCTAACTTCCGTATTTTACCAACGATGCAGTGTGATGAGAAAGAGTGCCGAGGTTATTTGTATCAGGAAGTGATGGGTGAACCACGCGCTGTCCTCGTCAATTAAGTAGCATTATCCCTAACGTCATGTAGACCTAGAGCTAACCACAATCCTCTCTGGGCTACCGGCAGAACGAACGCCGTCAGAAAAACAGATAATATCGGTACATCATAGCACAGTATGGTATAACATAGTATGGGTATAGTGTAACATAGTAAGAGTATAGTATAGCATAGTATAGCTTAATATAGTGTGGTAGATCCATACGAAGACGATTAACTCAGTCGTTAGCTGCACGAGCTCCGTATGACCTAACGAAAATCATTCCAGAAATTTATTCTTTCAAGCTTTGCACACCCACCTTTCTATGTGTCCGACTGGGAACCAGATATCGATTAGGCCATTGGGCATTCTGGCATTAAATAAATATTGACAAAAATTATCACGGGTTTTAAGTTGTTGCTTCCTACAGTTTTTCCAGATACTTCTGTCAGCCAAGGCCTGGATTCAGAGAGAAGAAGTGAGACTTATTCATTGCCATCATGCGCAGAATTTTGATATCTTAATTTTACGGTAGTTCACCAACTATGTTCCCTCTAGCCTGATGATCCATCCTAGGATGAGGCCACTGAAACCATAGAAGCAGAGGAAAAACGCTCTAGTCATTTTCCCATGTGAAACGTCTATGAGCAGAATGTTAGCCGAATTTGTGTCTTATGTTTTAATTGGCTTTGATGGTGTTACTGCAGTTCATGATCAACTTCGTATTCTGCCGACCAGTTCGTCACAAGAATAACGTTTCAATTGAGATCAATGAAACTGACCTAAAACAGAGGAAAAGTATCGGGTGAACCCAAAGAAGGGAGAAGCTGATACTGGGCTGTTGGAGACTTTTCAGTAATCTTATGAGCAGTACTCATCAGAGAATATTGCTTCCAAAACGGATCGATTCAATTGCTCACGCAAAGTCAACTACGGTTTGCTGCACTGCTAACCGATTAGTTGCTTCAGACAGTTTCCTCCTGATTTGGCCCCTAGGGAAACACGTTCACCAACGTTTTATTTGCAGTGCCAACATACTCTCATAATTATTTTGGTTGTCTCTCACTAAGTCAACTATCAGACGTCTGATTCTTAGTTGGTTTTCAGTATATGCAAGGTATAGTTGTTCAACTAAAAATGTAACTGATTTGCCCCAACTCGCTCCTATTGGCAGTGGTTCCTTGCGGCCTACTGCCGTGTCTGCTCTGATCCCGATTTGCGTGGCGCAAAAAATAACTTGATCTCACATTCTATGAGCAGTTGCTGAAGGCAATGGCCAGTGACATTTTTATTGAGATAATGTAATCCGTTTTGTTGGAACACTCGCAAGTAGAGGCGTATGTACCTTAAAGAAGAGGGTGGCTAGAGGTTGTTCCACATCATCTATCATCTTCCCAAACGACGTGAAAACCACAATGCGCGAAACAAAACGAACTGTAAGCCTCATTTACCATACGAATCACCTAAAAATAGCATTCTTCAGCATACTGGATACCTCTAACCCCCAGTGGACTCAGCGATAATGAGTTTTAGTTTCGTTTCAACGGTTCTCTTTCTCTTCTCATGCGACTATCCTGGTTACTCAATGCCAGAGGAAGAAACAGTGAACTGAAATTCCACTCTTGTCAGAGTCTCCTGCACTTGGTTTATGCTCTGTAACTGAAGGTGCGAGACAAACACACCACTGCTACATCAGCATCGCACGCCGGATATGCCTAACCATCAGATCTGTATGTGTTCTTACCTCACCAGTCATGAAGAAGCACTTTAGTTTGAATCCCGACCTCTGTTGACCGAACTGACCCGTCCCACACGAAAGTATTGGGCCTACGGTATGTTCGGGTTTGAGCATCTGTGTAGTCTACAAGTATCCATTACGCTGTCCTGGAACAGAACTTTCCTAATCTTAATCAGCTACGTCTGCCGCCACACAACCGCAGGGACCATATTGGAACAAGTTGGTTTGTTTATTTACATTTTTGCTTGTTTTTTTTTCGAACGAGGACCCGTTATTCCAAACCCCGATAAAGTTATTATTGTAATTCTTTGGCTTATAGTGGCTTATTTGATTAGAGCATCTACTGATCAGCACAAATTACCCCGTAGAACCATTGGCAACTCACTATTGCTAGGGTAGCAGCACACACTACTGATGAAACGACCGAGTAGTATCTAGTCGTGCCGTTAAAAGCACCGTCCCTGAATCTGATCTGACGGAAAATTAATTTGGAAATTATCGGACCATTTTACTACGTTTATTCACCATTTTAGTACTCAAAAAACTTCTAGGAAAGTTCAGTGTGTTGAGGATGTTGACTTTTTCAGAAACTTTGTGCAAATGGGGTTTTACTTTTGTATCTGACAGTTAGTCTTAGTTACAATAACTAGCTCTGTAATTGAAGGTTCCTTCTCGTTAGTATTAGTGTTGGTGTTGTTTACCATCGCCATCTTTGTTGCTGCCAGCACTCACTGTTATCGTTGTAGTAACAATCGCAACATCGCTTGTAGCAGTGCATTTTTCCCGTCATTAACTTTGTGATCATGTGCTTCGAAAATAAACGGTACAACTTTGGTGTCAGGCTAAATACTGGTGTTTTGTGATGGAAATTACTGGCGACCATTAGTTTAGCGCTACTCACATCATTCTGCTAAAAATTGCAACATTCTTTTCTAGGTTGGCCTTTGTCGTCCAGGAGACTTGGGAACAGATGTCTGCCACTTGAATTTGCATAAAACATTCAGTATTCCACACGGGGGTGGAGGACCTGGCATCGGACCGATTTGTGTCAAAGAACACCTTGCTCCTTTCTTGCCTCAACATGCATGGCGTAATCCGTGCCTCAACGCAAGCCACATGCTCTCCACCGTTGATTCCTCACCGCATACCGTGTGCTCCGCTCCATTTGGCTCGGCTAGCCTACTGTTGATTCCGTGGTCCTACATAAAACTTTTAGGGCCAAAAGGTGAGTAAAACTGAAGACTTAACTCCTCAGTTGTCAAGTTATTCAGACTAAGTGCTGCAACCAGCCAGCTGTCTCGTTTCAGAAAGAGTTTGATAAACAATCGGTAGTTTTTATTTGGGCAACGTTTCGCTTCATTAGACCAAGTGAGCAGGTCACCAAATTAGCCAGGTTATAAGGTAGACGGGGAACCAATCATTAAGTCAGTCCTCTTCAGATTATTACACTAGATCAGTGTTGAGTGTCAATTAACGGCTCTTGTCAGTTAGTGAAGCTGTCAAAATCTTGCTTTGGTGGATTGGGGTGGGGGGTTCAAATTAATTCCGATCGGGTTTTGTTCGTTGCTCACCCACTTCAAGGTGCTTAGTTGATGATTTACTTCGGTTGCCACTGGTAGATTTTACCTGGTCTTTCTGGGGTCGTGAGTGCTCGGACAATTTAGTTTGAGGGGAGTTGAGGCCAATTGGAATTCAGATGATGACCACTCTTCCTTCCGATGACCGCACACCAACACGTGACTTCTCAGTCGGTTCCAAACCTTTTCCAACCAGCTGTCTGCTATGTAAAATTCTGATGTGACTTTTGGAATTTCCGAATAAAGAAACGCTTCAACCAACTGAGTCAAATCAGTTGAACTTTGTCAAATTACGATAGATGGAGGCACGGACGAAATCCCGTGTGCTAACACGTTTTCGTATCATTAGACGCCATGTTGTAGCAGCGACCAGTGACGGGAATAGGAAATAGGAAATTTTGGGTGACCTAGAGTGAAAGCAGAACAACAGGCAGTTCGAAAACGGATTCAAGCTTTGAAGATGGCGTGGATTGACAAACGACAGTGTCCTTTCTTTGTTCTAAGACAGTCAGATGTTGGGGAAGCTGACATTTCTCCACTTGGTAGTGCATAAATCTGTTCACGAGAACCTTATAAAAAGGAAAAAAGAGTGTGAATTTCGTTCGGTCAGCGACTGAAAGTGTAGTTTGTTCAAAACGTCCCGGTATTCGGGGTCACTCTGTTTGTTACATAGCGAATTTGGTCTGGTGAAGCATCGTTGACCCAGACACCATCACATAAGTGTTTTCAACTTTATTTGAAAACGTGACCGAAGTGAGCAGCAGTTACGCAGATTCGAGAAACTATCACGTTGCCAGTACTAGCATTGAACTTAGATGATCGTGTGAATTCCCAGGGGTTGCGTGTAAAAAGTACAAGTGACCCTGGAAAGATGGAGTCAGAGTATATTCACAGGTCAACGCCATTCGGTCCGTTCGATCGGTCCCGTGGACACAGCACTAACCGGATGTCGCATAAAACCTGGGGAGAAACCATCTAGGCAAAACGAGTTCACTCAGATTACAAGATCACAGTGGCTAACCGAAAGGTTGAATGACGTCCGAAAAGGTCGTGAATAGCTCGGATGTAGTGGCCCAGAGTCATAGTGCTTGCCTGACCGAGTGCCGGTGTGACGTGTTGACTGACTTATTGAAGGTGCTTTGAATCCAAACGGTCGAGGATTATGTTAGATTGTTTTCTTTTGAGGTCCGGAATTCACAGACAAGCCATTTTGCTGCGAATACCATCAGAAGTCAGCTTTTCGATCGGGTTTGTCGGTCGCCCCAGTTTACGGCCCTTTTCGTGCATTGTTGAGTGTGGTTGTATTCTGTGTCTGTTCTGTGTGATTATGCAGTCTCATGTCGTCAGACCGTCCGAATGTAACGATCGATTTGACATAGGGGACATGATTACTCAATCTTTGATGGTGGCCTTTTCAGACCGTTCCCGACCTGCATATGATCAGTAAACTGGAAATGCAAGTACTAATTCTTGATTAGACTGTGTCAGAACTCAGCGTATTCGGTGCGCTTCATTTTCCTCTTGTTTCTATAGGTACGGCGCACTCATTACATGTAAGTATCACGGGACTGGGTTCGAATTGTGGACGTAGTGTTGTCCTGCCTTCCGTGTTTAGTGTGTCTTAATCGCACTTTTGTGTGCCTGGATGGATTTGCTGGTCTCAACACCATTTCTTCCGTCCCTACTCTGTCTAGCTATTAGGATGTCAGTTTATACAGTTCTTGGAAGGTGTCGGAAATGAACTTTGGAATCGGTCTGGACGATAGAGCAGCTCGTATTTTGTCCATGCCAGTTATGCAGGCCAAAACATTTATCTACGTCATTGTAGCCACAAGTTTTGTTGGGACTCTGCCGCTGGAAACATCGCCTATTCAATCGCATCCGCACTCCCGCTGGAGAATGTCCTAGGGACAGGGATTTTTAATGTTTGTTGGGAACCGATGGAATGTTGGCAGTGTGAGATTGCGTTGCGCTGATATCGGTAATCGGATTAGATAAGCTTCAGTCGCCCATTTGCGTCGTACATCAGAGATATAGGTAAATAGATTCACCATAAACAGTCACTGACACTTGATCGTATACGCGTTCATCGCAGGAGCATTCAAGTGTTATCACCATTCCAGCACTACTTCCCTCAACATCTGTTAGCAAAAACCAGACCAGCTTTTCACCACTAACTTTAACGGTATATAAGCCGCGTAACTCTGACTTTTTCGACTCACACTGGTGGGACCTGATAATAACCGATATTCTCAGGAGGAAAGCATTACTTGTGAAACCAATACAAATTTGCACCTCCTGATACCCTACTGATAATTCACCTTGGCTCGAGCAGCTAACTGCTCCGCGGAACACTGTGTGTGGCGTGTGTAATTCAGGATCGTAACATACAGCGTATGTTCATTGTAAAACCCGGTAAACTACTATCAGCGGGATGTCTCAAGTGGCTCTTAAGTGTCCGACATAATAAACTGACTGTCAGATCACGGAAGCAAAGATGAATACCATTCTGCTGAATAAATGACTGGCTATTCTTTACCTTGAGAATGATTTGTCCCGGTTCCAGTTGGGCTGGTTACGATGCGAGCACTCATAATACTGTTTGACGATTGACATGCCTTTGAACATCATGACATTTTTGCCCCACAGAAACTGATCGTTGCAAAAAGACTGAGAATCTGTCATAATCTCGTTGGAAAGAACTGAAATTTCAACATGTTGAGTGCACAAAAATGATAATGGATTTCTTTTACGACGATAAAATAAGCAACCAATTCATCCTAGACACAAGATCATACAAAATAAGGTCCGACGGATTCTCACAGATTCTCAAGGAAAAATTGACTTCCCGATTTAAAGAAACAAGTCAGACAAAGACCACTTTTGGCTTTCCAAAAAATAGCCTTTTTAAGCGGGATTAGTGTACGCATCCTCCACACTATAGTTATTCTAGGAAGTGTAAATGGTTCAGCATGAACATAGTGCTGCTGGATACACACTACCCGATTTAGTTCAGTTTTCAGCTCACTAACGGTGAACCGAAGTGCAGTAGTTCCGATGGCTACAGCCCCGTTCGCTGAGGATAAGGAGAATAATGGAATGACAGCCACACTTTGGAGGCGATGGCCCAATCAGCCCAATTGGCCACAAATTTATCTCTCATAAGAAAGAATAAAAGTAAATCGACTCATCAAACTCAGCCCAGAGGCTTGCTACATCACAACCGTGCTCGCACCATTGCACTGATCAGTACATGCCTGAAAGCCACATTGGGCAACATTGATCCAACAAGAAAACCACATATAGATTTATTACTTTCACTAAAAACAGTGTGATCGGCTCCGGTAAGCTCACTCAACAAGTGGTCTGAGCGAGTTCGATGGGATTCTCTGGTTAGCAGCGGTCACTGCGCAGAAGACCAACGGGAATTTACAGCAAACATCTGGCTACTCACGAGTAGTTCGAAACGCTGTGTCCCTTTTACCCATCTCAGCAGGACCGATATAAAACATGCTCGGATCTGTTAACCGTTGCCCAGCAATAAAGTACCGAATGGTAGTTCGAAACGCTGTGTCCCTTTTACCCATCTCAGCAGGACCGATATAAAACATGCTCGGATCTGTTAACCGTTGCCCAGCAATAAATGTACCGATTGTCACCAAACTTTTTCGAAAACGATGACTACCCAATCGGCTTCAAGTATTTTCCACGTGATTGAACAAATCTTTAACTTACTTCAATCGTGTAAGTAAAACATTGGGGGCATATGAAATAGATTGGAAACAATGTAGAACAGATACCAAGTGGTTAGTTTCTTCATGTCACAGGATTAATACCACGATGACCAAACTGTTTGCTTAAAATTCCTTTGAGCACTTAGTTCTGATTTGTCTGGTTTTGTCGGCAGCGCTTCGTTTATCATTACGGCTTTGATATTTGTCTTGCACAAAAAAATTCGAGATGAGTTAAACGGGTCAATCTGGTGGCTAGTATCCAACATATATCTGGCCGATGATGATACAAGACCGCACGTTGACCTTTTGCCTGTCGGCTTACCTGACACCATCTGGATTACTTAATCCATAGTGTCTTCTTCCGTACGTTCTGCTAGATAACCATCTGCCTTCTTAATGTAGATGACTCAGAAGCTGCAGGAGAACTCACAGATTACACGAGAAGCAGACCGGTTAGACAATCTAGGTTCACTTTTGCGCAGAACAAATCTTCTGGTGGTCGGTATCAGAAGTAGCGGGGCTGCAGTATATACCAGCTTTCAAGCTGAAGTGCACCTGCATCTTGATTCGGCATTAGAATGGTCGCCTGTGAGTTGAAGAAATGAGTATACATCCTTATCGTTAGCTGGATCAACTGGTATTGCTTGTGTCGCGCTCTGGATAAGTTTTCTTCAGCTCCACAAATTCCGCCTTTTGCTTTAGCTGTTCCGGGCTACTGAGCCTCCTCGCTCTGTAGAGTTAAATCTTTACCAGACCACGCGTTTGAGCCATTAAGGCGTAACTCGAGAGCTGTAATTACTTAGCGCTCTATGTGTTTTAGCGGTAAGAGGATGGAGCGTTATATGGGTGCATTTGTTGGTTTACAGATGTGTATTCAAAAAGGTAAACTGCTAATCGATTCACATTCGCGTGGTACACCGAGGTCAAGGTGGGTGGAATTGTGGACCTTTACAAAGAACCGGAGATGCCCTATAATAATCCTGACAAAGATGTCATCAACAAATTTTTGAAATTTCTTCAGTAGTTCTCTGTCCAGACGTTATCATCAACGTGTCCACTGGTGTCAGGCCCAAATGGTTGCCCGAGAGCACTTCTACCGATCTCAAACCTAAGGTTGTTTATACACATTAAAATCAAGTCTTTAGTGAAGTCAATGGGGATCCTTAAACAAATATTAATTTTTAGGATAAAATCACATAAAATGTTAAACCGTCTTGTACAATGATGAAAACAACTCGGTGTCAGTGGAAAGCAACTGCTGAGGACTCAACACGATGTTACCCAGGTTGTCTGCCATTACAGAGAATCTTTTGAAAAATGAGTAAAAAAAACTGTTCTGCAATGAAGTTTCACCACTCAGTGTGGAACTTTGTGGAGACTGAATTGTTCATGCAAATGTCTGTGTATTTTTGGGGCCCTCTGCGTATGTGAAACTGAAGTTCCCATGTGATTTGAGTACAAAGTTTCAGAATTTACAGTTATATGATGATCTTGCTTACAAGTTGGGGACTATAGAGCTTGTACGGTTATTCATTTGCCCTAGATACTTCTCTGACAATTTTCCGGGCTGAAAGAATAATGAATACTTCATTTCGCTCAGTTCTTTACTCGTCTCGTAAAGCTCAACTTTCAGACAACCTTGTTGCTGCATTCAAGAGTGGTCCAGTCGACTATGTATTGTAGCAGCTTATTGGAACAGGTCACCTGAAAATTAAGTATAAGCATGAGCGCAGTGGACAGTATCCACACATCAGTGCGATTCACACTGATAATATGTTGTCAAAAGTTTCTTCATCAATGCTCCAATCGATTGGGATAGAAGAAATTAACCGTTTGACATAAACCGCGATAATAAGTACAACTGAGTGAAAAGCGCATTTGGCGTATTCGGTATCGTTTAAGCACGAAAAACCACAAAAGTTTTCCATCTGTATTTTTTCTTTCAGGAGTTCGCAAGGCCTCAGAAACTGCCATTCTCAATGCGAACTACATGCTTCAACGATTACGGGACCATTATCCAATCAAATTTGTCAACAAGAACGGATGTTGTGCTCATGAATTTATTGTGGATTGCTCGTCTTTTGAAAAACACCGCATCTTCACAATCGACATTGCAAAACGACTTATAGACTACGGTAAGAAACTTTTCTCCTGATGTAGACTAACCTTTCCTCTTTTTGTTTTTTTGTTTACACAAAGTTCAGCCTAAGAACATAACAAGCGTGAGATCCAGCTGGGTTCCAGGTGGGTCTCTCGAAAAACCAAATTAGTTTGCAAATGAGTGTATATTCGCTGATTCCGTGCAATTTGGTTTCAAGTAGAACATAAGGTTGACGGAAACCCGGGGACTGTGCATACCTGATGAAGCCCAAAAAGGGCGAAACCGGTCGTGGGCTGTCGATGGATTTTCAGCAACCTTATGAGTAGTACATTACAGAGTTATACATGTATCGCGATATCTCGAATATCGTAGCGACTAAAACATGAGGCGGCCTGGTACAGCACATTCAGTTGTCTGAGAACATCACAAACGCGAAATTTTGCTGGGTTCTAGGTGGGTCTCTCGAAAAACCAAATTAGTTTGCAAATGAGTGTATATTCGCTGAAAATTCAGCATACTTCAGCAGTGAAATGTTCATGCATGCATGCTGAAAATACAGTGATCATATGGAGCAACCAAAGTTGACGATTGAGCGGAATGTCTTGGCAAGCACATTGGTTGAATCAAGCAGTTGTTGAAACGCCCCCACTGTTAAACACTTCCAACTCGATGTTTGCAATAAGCTAACTGAATTTTGCCACCAATGCGCAATGGTTTGTCTGCGTAGCCATCCTATAGTGTAGAAACTGACAACAAGAATGCCACTAACATCGGCTGGTAGCCATATCTTGTAGTGTCTCCAAGCGGGCGCAGTGAGGATCACGCGGTCCATCCTGGAAGGCGAGTAGCACCGACAGCACCCAAGCGTTTCGTGATCTCCTTCATACTTCTCTGCCAAGTCAAGGGTTGGTCACTTCTCTGTTTAGGTCACTCTGAATTTAGCATGGAAAACAGCACCCTCTTCGGCAAACGATGGTTCGCCATACACAACACATGACCAACGCAGCTTCTTGTGCTGGACACATTCATGCATACATTCATTCCTACATTTCATAAAATGACACTATCGCTTGATTTTTTTATTGCTTTGTCCTGCGCGTCCTTACTGCTGCTCAAGCGCCAACAATCGTCCTCTTCGCGTTCCGATTCGGGACAGCACCAGCTCAATGATGCCACCTATGTGATCAACTTCAATAAGACAGATGGCTAAGTTGAACTTAAATGGAGTTCAGATGGTTTGCTTGAGATTCTGAATGAAGTACAGCCGGCTACTTATTTTATATGGCTTCTTCAGCCATAATACAGAAACACTATGAACATGTTGAGCAAAACAAACTGCGTTAAACCGCATAAGTCAGCGTATCCCCATTGGGGACCAGATGACCTTGTTGTAACGGTAGTTGTCAGTCTGGTTCCTTTTTATTGTTTTTGTTTTTGTAATTCTGACAAGCCCATCCTTGAAGAAGTTCACCCGCGCTAGCCGAAGCGTTTAACACTAAAATTCCATACACTGTTACTCTACCGTAATCCATAAGAACTGAATGTTCCACACAATCCTCAGCCTCTTCGTCTCAAATTGTATGAAATTCGTGAAATGCACCGATTTGCACAAGTAGAACATTGCGTTCACGGAAACTCGAGGACTGCGCCTAAAGTAATAGCCCAAAAAGGGCGAAATCGCCTATCAGGCTGTCGCAGAGATCCCGACAACATCGTGAGTATTGCTTTCTAATAAAGCATGATGCACTGTCTCGATTGCCGTACAGCCTGGAGCGTCAGGCGGTCTTTGTGCAGCACATTCGGTAGGAGAAAGTCATACCAGATAGCCATGATAGCTACACGTAGTGAGTGCGCGGTACCTATAGAAACTAGAGAAAAATGATGAAGCGCACGGAATATACTGCGTTCTGGTGTAGTATAATCAGGAATTAGTACTTGCATTTCCAGTTTACTGATCATATGCAGGTCGGGAACGGTCTGAAAAGGCCACCATCAAAGATTGAGTAATCATGTCCCCTATGTCAAATCGATCGTTACATTCGGACGGTCTGACGACATGAGACTGCATAATCACACAGAACAGACACAGAATACAACCACACTCAACAATGCACGAAAAGGGCCGTAAACTGGGGCGACCGACAAACCCGATCGAAAAGCTGACTTCTGATGGTATTCGCAGCAAAATGGCTTGTCTGTGAATTCCGGACCTCAAAAGAAAACAATCTAACATAATCCTCGACCGTTTGGATTCAAAGCACCTTCAATAAGTCAGTCAACACGTCACACCGGCACTCGGTCAGGCAAGCACTATGACTCTGGGCCACTACATCCGAGCTATTCACGACCTTTTCGGACGTCATTCAACCTTTCGGTTAGCCACTGTGATCTTGTAATCTGAGTGAACTCGTTTTGCCTAGATGGTTTCTCCCCAGGTTTTATGCGACATCCGGTTAGTGCTGTGTCCACGGGACCGATCGAACGGACCGCATGGCATTGACCTGTGAATATACTCTGATTCCATCTTTCCACGCAACCCCTGGGAATTCACACGATCATCTAAGTTTAATTCTAGTACTGGCAACATGATAGTTCTTCGGGCACACGCAACTGCTGTTCACCTCGGTTACTTTCAAACAAGCTTTCTTACTGAAGCCACCTGTCCATCCTACGGGAGTGGCGAGAAATACTTTGGTTTGTATTCTGTGTGGGTTAGCCCTGTGGGGTTGGATAGGATTAGTCGCTCATGCTAATTTTTACGTGCAACCTGCGTAGGTGTGCTTTCTATCCATGGCGTTCGAAACGTTCCGATAGTTGTGCGGGGTTCTGAGATCTTGCATGTTACGAGTCGCGTGGCGGTTTGTGTTCCGTGAACTCGTCACATTTCGATTGATAATGGTAATATTCTTCTTCGACCATCTAATCCCAATTAACGTGTATTTGTGATATCTTTTAACATTATGGTTAAATATACCGTGAGGCCACTGTAATTTCTTAGCATCATGTTTTGTCTACCGCACACTTGACTCTTTCTATCCCCGTACACATTTCTGACTAGTCGGAATTGACGATCGCTGCCTGCATATACCAGCAGCATTCGTTTGAATGCGGGTGTTCAACATTAGGATATTCGTTTATTCATTTTCCACCCGGTCGTATCAGACACCGGTTCAGGCTTCAGTGTCGCATTACCAATTGACAGTTGCCCATAAATCACCAAGTTTCCAATCGCGACGGACACCTTATCGATTTGGTTTGAATGTTGACCTTAAAAGCGGTTGACTTATTCATACAACCTAAGCACTTGTGAATAGGCAAGTTGTTTCTACAGACTATACCTCATTACTCATAAAGTACTTGATGGATTTCAACACCCGACATGACTAAGGCTTGTCAGGATAGGCAGCATCTTTCTTGGTAGAGTCAATCTCTTGTCGTGTTCAGCCACTCCCGGCTAACCGAAAAAGTCCGAAAAATGCAACATGCATGGGTAAAGTTTCGAACCACTGGTCTTACGGCCATCAGATCCCTCGTGAGGATGACAATCCAGGGGACCAATCACAACCGGCTGTTCAATCTTCTGATGACTTGTTTTGATGCTTTTTGCTCATGATTTGATGTTTTCTATCCGCTGGAGGTTGTGTTGGCTCCGATGGTTCTGAAATTGGGTGTCACTCATAAACAACAAACGGTGACTGCGACTAAACATGGTTTTAGTTTCTCAGTCCAGCAGTCAGACAAACTGTCCGGTTATCATCTGTTTCTAAGAATGTCCTTCAATTATTCCTAGACTAAACACTAGCTTGTTTTGACAAAATAAGTCAGATTCCTCTTAATCCTACTGTCTGACGATAAGTTATTGGCTTACTATGAAGTTTCACTCAAATTCAGGGTTGACAGGCTGCCAAAATACGTAAGCTGGTCTATGCTACTCTAGAGACATTCGATCTGAATAGACCAAGGAGTATTCCCCTCTGGTTTCTACATAGGTTTAGGTTAGGATGCGTAAAGTCCTCACTATAGGATTGGATGAACCCGATTCACCAATGCTGACCTATCTTGATTCCGTGAGTTGCGGAATGCAGCGGTAAAGGCCATTGCTCACTAGGTGCCTATTTCTCGTTTTCATCGGTGTTCAGTCATATCCTCTGAAGTTCGCCTGAGTGGACCAAGTGGTTAGAGCGCGAATTTACAAACCGGAAGGTCCGTGGTTCGAACCCGACCTCCGCCACTCGACTTCCCCTGTTTAGGCTTGGGCGACCTGGCAGTATCCCAGCCCTCGTGTCTCCTTCGTGTGGCATGGCAGCTAGGCACCGGAAAGTGTGCTACAGCTGGATGATTTTTTTCGATTTGAAAGCACGCTGATCAGGTGCGTGTTCATGTGACCACTAACAAGACCTTTCATTTCCACCCTTCAGACGAAAGTAGGCACCCCATCCTGGTCCGTGACTTTCTCTCCCCCTCACTACGGTATACCAAAAGGCCGGATAACTTAAGACGGCCTTTCATGGCGAGAAAGTAATCAGAGAAGGTCCCTCTAGAATCTTTGTGATGATGTGAGAACACCGAGTTAAAAAGGCTTTATTCTAACTGGTTCATATTCTAACTTGTAGGAACTTTTCAGGTTCGTAGTAGCCGAGCCCCATATATCCGCCCAATACCGTTCGGTTATTCCGAACGATATACCTCCAGACAAATCTACTGTGCATATGTCGCAGCGACATCACCTTATCTGAATTACCTAGTTTCATCAGCTAAAGGTGCTACTTCGCTACTCCTAACCCTGGGATAGAGCGATTGAACGAGTTAGAACGACTGCACCCAGTCCGAAAAAATTTTGCACTTTAGTTTTCACGGGAGACTCGGTTGAATCTCTCGTTTATGATGTCCTCCAGCTGAATGTGCTGCACACAGGCCGCCTCATGATTCATTTGGCACGATATTCGAGATATCGCAGTATATTTTTCTTGGGGGTTCAAGTAAAATCATAAGGTTGACGGAAACTCGGTAACTGCGCCTACCTGATGAGCCCCA